AAACATTATTAGTCTCAATGTGGGTTCCTCGTCATCAAATTTGAAACCATGTGTTCGTTTTTTCTTAAAGTCAGTCTCTTTTAAAAATCATTTTCTCCTCGCTAGAAACCCAAGAAAGGCTATTACAAGAAATGGTTTTCATTTTCGTCACTAAACTTATTTCAGTTTGGAACGTTTTTCACATAGTTTGTATTTTTTCAAGGTTTGTTGACTAGAGAGTAATATATGCACTGGAGTTTAGTTTTGGTTCAATGCTGTTAAAACCTGTATCCAACAGAATATTAAGTAGCTTAAGGATTAAACTATCTGCAACAGTCATCTAGTTAATTTGTTTTAACTGATCCAATCCAAAAAAAGATGTTTTTTAATGTCTGTGATGTGTATTCGTGGTATTAAGAAATAAATACATCTGATAACGGAAATATAATTAATTTCATACCAGAGATGTAGTCAAGCAGGTTACGACCAATCGACTGTTGAGATCAAGTTCAATATATTTTTTTAAGGGACCAACCCTGTAATTTAAATAAATATTTTTGAATAAAAACAACAACTACAACAATAATACTAATAATAAATTTTATTTTCCTTATAAGGTTGGTCACATAAAAGATGAATTGATCTTGGTCTAGACAGACTCAGTGTCGCCACCTGGTGTTGACTACATATCTGTTTTATCTACACGGGGGGGAAAAAATGGTTATTAAGTTCTATACATGTACATTTTGCATTGGCAGCAGTAAAATTTAGGAGAATGGTATACCTGTTCGGCAATGGTGACTGTGTGTGGTATGGACATCTTGATGTTGTTGTATCCATACGCAATTGCTACATCTTCCATGATGTCACACGGATGGATAATGTCATGCCGTGTGGGAGGAACTGCAACCGAGATCTTAGATGTCTGACCCCCTTTTTTACCTTCCACGATTGTAGAGTGAATCGACATTTTATTAAGCAGTTCTACAACACTAGCAGAGCTTTCACTAAAACCAAAAAAAATACAATTACCTATCAATATACATACCAAACAAAAAAAACACTTAAAATTCATATTATTTTGGTGGAATAGTCTGCTGGAAAGTACATTTTTTAAAATACAAATACACATTTTTGTTTACTTTGGTAAATGTTTGATCACAGACCTAATTTGCTTTTACATGAATTATACTCCTGACAGAAGTGAATTGAAATATAACCGAGTCTTGGAATTGCATTTCTTTTCTCTTTAGACATTAGATTCATACCTTTTTTTTTTTTGGACCAGTTAAAACTAAAGCTTGTGGTTAATAAAACTGTTGCACTGGTCAACATAGTGTTAAAGTTTCAATATACACAATGTGATACATCTCTCTTCTGAAACATCAAATACGTTCACGCATTATATAACAAACAAACAAGAAATAAGGTATATGTAAATATTCCTAACATAAAACTGACATAAGGTGAAATTCAAGTGCACGTCTCTATTATTAGAAATATCCTCGAGCCAACTGCATTATACAAGTTTTATTGCCCCAAATCTCAATACATTAATATCTACAGGTTGAAACTGATAAACTAAATACTCAGTAAAAGTGTACTTACTCAATCCCCAAACTTTTATTTATTTCACTAACGGACACGACTGCTTGTTGATAGATCAGCTCCTACAAGCACAAAATGATTATTTTAATTAGATGAACTGAAACATATCCACATACAAATTTATTTAACTTCTATTTACACTGAACATCTTGGAAGTAAGCAACCTCACCGTCATTTTTCTGTTTTCCTAAATTTACAGTGTGTGTTTGAAAAAAAGACACAACAAACTAAATACATTATGCTATAGAAAACGTGCAAGGATACAAGTTTAGACATTTTTAAAGTTTAAACTGCTATCACGCGCAAAATGTACTCTGAAGAGGGTTCAGTTTCAAGTTCTAACACCATTAAAAATGTATTACAAGAAACTCTTGACATTGTAGATCCAATTCTACATCAAAGAATAAGATTAATTTGACTAAATTTTGGAGTTAACTTTTATTTAATTGATTATCTATATTTTATTATACTACTCTTTCGACAGAGATACTTAATAATAGGTTCATATTACACTACTTTTTGACTGCAATACTGAATAATAGGTTCATATTACACTACTCTTTTGACTGCAATACTGAATAATAGGTTCATATTACACTACTCTTTCAACTGCAATACCTAATAATAGGTTCATATTACACTACTCTTTTGACTGCAATACTGAATAATAGGTTCATATTACACTACTCTTTTGACTGCAATACTGAATAATAGGTTCATATTACACTACTCTTTCAACTGCAATACTTAATAATGGGTTCATATTACACTACTCTTTTGACTGCAATACTTAATAATAGGTTCATATTACACTACTCTTTTGACTGCAATACTGAATAATAGGTTCATATTACACTACTCTTTCAACTGCAATATCTAATAATGAGTTCATATTACACTACTCTTTCAACTGCAATACTTAATAATGTGTTCATATTACACTACTCTTTCGACTGCAATACTGAATAATAGGTTCATATTACACTACTCTTTCGACTGCAATACTTAATAATGGGTTCATATTACACTACTCTTTCAACTGCAATACTGAATAATAGGTTCATATTACACTACTCTTTCGACTGCAATACTTAATAATAGGTTCGTATTACACTACTCTTTCAACTGCAATACTTAATAATAGGTTCGTATTACACAAACAGTGATGGCAAAAAATATTTGTCGAGTTAAATTAAATTAAAATCTCTAGCATTATTTTAGTGCTACTTACAGGATACACAGATTTTCTCCCGTTAGCTTGAGTAACTTCAACTCTTTCCACCCTAAGTAGGAAAAAAAAACAACAAAAGAAAAACAGTTAACAAATTGTAAAAAAAATCCCAGCTTTGAGAGATTAAAACAAAAATCATTGTGTACGTTTTCAACTTTTAGAAATCATGAATATAAATCTTATAAATTAATATTATCTTCTTAGTGAAAAAAAAGAGATATAGCTTACTTAAAAACATGAAAATATTTAATGATGTTCGGAATTTAAAGATATACACAGTAAAAGTTCACTAGTGTGTATCTGCTTAAGAAACCGTTTACTGTTTCAACACCCTTATATCTAGCTTAACAAATTCATTTCAATACTTTATAGCGTATCTGTTTATCCATACATCTGAAAATACTGACTTATCAAACAGCTTTTAATACATTATTTCTGTAGTTTCTAGTCAAAACTTACGTAAAAGGTTCCTTGCAGTATTGGCTAAACATACAAACAAGCGTGTCTAATACCACCTTAGCTTTGTATAGATCTACTGCTGTGCATTCTATTAACACGTTCTTGGTCTCAAGTGTAATTTTGGAATGGTCCCCTAGAACATAAAATACGTTTAGTTAACATTTTGACACCCAACACAGATGGGTGTAGCCCACCTCGACGCAACAAAATTGTACCAATGAATGAGACGAATTATAGAAAATAAACTTCATCAGTTAAAAGAAAGGAAAATACTTCACAATTAAAATTATTTAACAAAAGAATTGTATTTAATTTTATACCGAAAATAATATGCCACTCTAGGAACAAAATAGCAATAACTTGTCCTTGTAACTTGAAAACGAGTAGATTTATCAGTGTTTAGCTAATCATCATTTCTCAACCACAGTTTTCAATGTGTGATGTAACTACATATTTCTCAGCTTTGAGAAGTCCTATTGAACACATGATGAATGATATTTTTCTGTTCTTTTCTATAAAACTAACAAGGCTTTCAGTTCAGCAGAGATTTGCGTCAAGATCGGAACAAAATAATAAAAGTTTCGCTCAGTGAGTTGTTGCTAGAAGAAAAGATTTTGTAAACAACTTTCCTATAAAACTTGGGAAAAATTTGCTTTATCATTATGTTACGTCTCTGTTCGTTTGTTAATTTTCTGTAAAAATTCTTTCCGAAGAAACTTTAGCGATACAAGTACTTTTTTAAATAAAACTGGTTTATTCTTTCTCAATACAACTTTGCAATACAATTAATTTCCACAGTCACGCTATAAATTAAACAAATGCTATAATTCACAACGAACGATTCACATTCAGTGATTAAGAGGTACAAGAAAAAGTTTTTTAAAAAAACATATTACAATGAAATTTTGATATACCAAAGTTGTAAATTCATACAAATATCACATATAAAAATAATAAATTTCAATCGCAGAAACTGTATTATCTGTAGAAAGTACTTCAGAAGTTTAAAACTATTTCATCCAGTAATTTGTTTTGCAATATAGCAAAAACCAAATAACAGGATCAAATCAATGCTCCAGAATCTCCTAAAGTTGACAGAATTCTCGTCACATTATTCTATCAAAATTCTATGTTATATAACGGGATCTAATTTGGACAGAAAAGGCTTAAACAAGCTTAATATCACTAATATTTCCTCAGCTAAACACTATGGAAAATAAACTGAAGACGTTTCATTATCTGGGGAGCAGTTGTAAATTTTCAAATGTATTCTTGTCCAGATTACTGAAAACAAAAAGCAATGGTCACTGTTGTCTGCAATCTTATATATATACAGACATATTAAATTGTATAAAGTGTTTGCATAAACAAACACCTGTTTAGTTATATGTATACACACACACATATATAGAATATCTTACCATTGATGATTGGTGGCATTGAAAGCACTACCCTATTTTGGTCGTATATAACAGGATACACAGGTTTGTCTTTAATTATTTGCAGATATGGTTTAAGATGACTATCAGTCTGTATATAAAAAAATATCTTTAGTCATTACATGTTTAACATCCTAGTTAAGCATTCACTGTTTTTATAATAAACATAAAACCAACCAGCAATGAGATTTAAAGTTTTTTAAAGCTGTCAACATTAAAAGTTATTAAATATATAGTTCTGACACGCACAAACACTTTTCATTCCATTCCCAGTAAAGCCTTGCTGGTTTTATTTAAGATAAAGAAAATTTATGGTAATAGGAACAAAAAGGAAAAATAGAACATTTTACATTTATTACCACATTCTTTGGATTAATTCATTATGATATTCCAAAAGGAAGCATGTAAAAATCCATCTTTTATCTACCCCAACACACTATCCAGAACTTACCAGCTGTGTTGAACTTATGACAATAAAGGTCCATCTGAAATGTTATTTGAATACAATACACACAAATTTTGTGGCACAGCTTACTAAAGCTGACAAACTTATAAATTCAATAGTCCTGACAGCTGTGATTTAAATCAAATCCGAGTGAAAATGTTTTTTACTTTATTGTAATTGTTTGTTGAATTCCTCACAAAGCCAGTCAAAGGCTATCAGCACTAGCCATCCCTAATTTTGAAATGGTAAGGCAGCTAATCAACACCACCCATTACTAACTCTTGGGCTACTCAGTTACTAACAAATAGTGGGACTGACTGTCACATTCTAGTGCCCACATGGATGAAAGGGCAATCATATTTCATGATGGAATTCAAACCTACGATCAACAGATTGCAATTCAAGTGCCCTTACCAACAGGGTTACCTTAATGTAAACAAAACCATCTTCTGTCAGATGCAATTCTAATAAAAACTAGGCCTAACAGCTTTGTTGGGTTTATGTAAATTTTGTGCTACAGTTGTAAACAAATACAAAGTATACCTAGTTCATTTAGAAAATAAAATCCATGAGCCTAAAATCTAACTTTAAGATTTGATTCTGGACAATTTTGAAACAATTAATCTCAAATTGGAATGCAAAAATTTCCCAAAAACGATCAGCAGTACTTTTGTTTAAATTAAAGTATTATATAGACACACTTAACTTAATGTTACATATGGAATAAGCAATTCCAAAATACTTTAGGTATAATTAAGTTTTATTACAAACATGGTGTTGCAAGTAGTTATAAATTCAAGTGTCCACTATCCTCAAACTAAACAAGGCTGAATACATGATTCGTTGTAACATATTATCAACAAACAAACACACACATGATAATTAATCTATATTAATTACAAATAATTTACTGACAGAGTAAAGTTCCATCAGTTCTTCAGCTGTGTATTCCTTCATTTCATTTAAGGGTTTGAATCTTATCTCTTTCGGAACTTGAGCATCGTAAGTAAATGGCCCAGTCAACGTGTCCAAATCATGAGTTCCAATTGCAACAAGTGCTCTTCTTCTGTAATAAAAAACATTTTGTGACAACAAATAAAGTGAAAATATATTAATATCTGCAAGTTGTTTTCTTAATCTTAACCCATCAAATACACATAAATAAAAAACATTTTGTGACAACAACAACAAAAAAATACTGATGTATAAAATTAGAACTTTTTCTGTTTGTAAAGGTCTAGCTTATGCATGTGTTTTTATATGTATTCCAACCTAGGCTTCCATGAAGTGTTTTTGTATATTTGTTATAAGTGTATTTCAATTCTGGTGCAATATGGTCGGAAATGAAAATGTTATGTAAAAAGGTGTTGGAGATTCTTTGGTTTAGAAATGGCCAAGAAAAATTATATTTAAATGTTGTTAAAGTAAAATAAAGGTGATGCATGGAGACTTAAGAAGACTTATAGTCACTTAATGTAGGCTGTAGAGGACTTATAAAAGAAACTAGAAGCAGTAAATTCAGCCTTCGTGACATCATTCAAATATATCACTCATTCAGCTACACCATCTTTCCCAGTTTGGCCCTGAAGAAGAAGAAAGGTCCACCTTTCAAAACCTCTTGGGTTATAGGGTTTTATCATTTTATATTAAGGATTCTTGAACCTAGGTGTTTTTCTGACATCATGAGTAAAATAAGTACACATGGAATAAAACTAAACAGCTCTAAAAAGACTTTTTAGTCAAACAAAGATATAACGAACTGGTCTTTTTTTTAACACTTTGTTTCAACATCTTGGTTTTGTCTTCTTTAGTGTATCTTTCAGGTACCAACTTATTAAAGAGAAATACGTTTCCACACCTAATCTGGTATCAATAAGACATCTCTATTATTTTGTCAAACTTAAAAAATGGTCAGAAAACTGTTGATAAGAAACAAAAGTTATAAATGGATTTTAACTAGATTGGAGGAAAGTTATTATCGGGAGTGTTTTTTTGGGAGATTTATTGTTCATTATTTAAGTCTATGATTTGGATAATAAATAGACAGTCATATTTCTAAATGCATAACAGTAAGAGAGAGAAAGTTAAATGGGATTATTAACTCTCTCACCACTCCTTTACTGAGCATATCACGAGGTTTTTAGTGAGTTACATTCAAAGTTTAATTAAACTACTCTTTCTTTGTGTTATACCAATTAGTATAGCATTAAATCATAGTTAATAATCCATATTTTAATAGTATAATAGGTTTTAATTTTATAAAAATAAAATATAAAAAAAAATCTTTCTTCTCTAATTTATTCATCACACTTCCAATATGTACAAAATTTAATGTAAATTACTCACTATATCATCATCATTGTTCACATCCTCTCTTTCAGGACTTGTTAATAGTTTTCTCTCTTACATTTAATACTATATTATTTTTAACCAAATGAAAGCCAAGGTTTTCATCTGTCAAATGACATATTATATTACGTTGTTTTCTGTACTGAAAATTGTCAATTTCCGTTCCAGCTTCATTCCTACAAGAAACATATTGATTAGCTTGGATTAATCTGTAATGGCTCTTGTCGCATAGTTAGAAAGCCAGAAAAATTGTGAGAGTTATGGGACACTGTATACTTTTAGTATGTTTGTATTATATGTTCTTTGGTGCATTATTTAGTGCACTACAATTATTAGTATAAAAAGGTAGGGTTAAGTGTCTTCAACAGTCAACATAAAAAAAAATTAAAGCCCAGGCAAGTACTTTATTTCCTGTTTTTTTATGTGTATTCTTTATTTATTATTATAAAAGTACCTGAAATGTAAATATAGGAAACTCTTTAGGTTAGTTAAGGGTAGATTAGGTAAAATAAATAATATAATAAAAAATTTTCACAAGGCACACATGCAAGCAGCTCGTGGGTAATGTAATTCGATATCATAATGTGAGCTGCACACTCTCCAAGTGATTTACAACTTATAATGGTGTGAATAGTAATTAGCCTTGTTTCAATGGGCAATAAAACAATAAAATTTAAGTATAAACAGATGTATAATGTTAAGAGTTTAAAGCTACTTTGGATAAACAAATGTAATTTCATGTTACAATTTGAAGTCATTCATGAAAAAAAAGGGTAATTTAGATTTTTTTTTTTTTGGTGGTTACGAGGTCGGTCAAATTGACACTTTGTATAGAGTTAGGGTAGAGAAAATAATATATAAAATATAAAGTTTTACTTAAAAAACATCTGAAATGTGTATAGGATGCAAATCACATTTGAGCTTTTTGAGATGAAGAAAAGTACTTTAATCTTAACATGGAAACCACACGAACAAGTAAAAAAAAAAGATTCAATATATTCACGGACAAATCTTTATAAAAATACTTCAGTAAAAAATCTGATTTTTTGTATGTAAAAAGACTTGTAATGCTTACTGAAAGTCTACCAAATTTTGTGAAGATACATATACTATATTAAAATTTAGTAGTATCGAAACCATAACAAGTACAAAGTGGTCATGTGGTTGGTCAATTTCACCAAGCTCGTGTAGAGAGAGAGAGTTAATTAGTGCATGAATCCTTCAACTGATAAGAGTTAACATAGCTACGGGAATCGTGTTGAGCAATTTTGAATTTAAAAGAAAGATATAGCTTTGTATTAGCTTTTAGTGATACTTCTTCTAAAGTAGTGTGTTTAATTTTGATCACCTTAAAAGGGTGCAGAGATGGGCTACTGGAAGATACCTGGTTTCAAAGATTTGAACTACGAAGTAAGGCTTAAAGACTTGATTTTTTGTTTCAGTGTAACAATAGAAATGACTTGACACTCACATTTACTGTGATAAGCTATCTGGATGAAATCTTCTTCACTGATAGAATGATGAGGTTGGTTAAATAATTAGGGAAAACATATTGAAGCTCTAATCTAAAATTACTTTTGCCACTGATTTATTTCTCTTGGAGTAGTTGTAAGTTTGTGGAATGGTTTGTCTGATGATAATATTTTGAGTTGTTACTTTAAAAATTCATTTAAACCTTTGGAAAAATATATAAATGTGGAAAGCTACACATTATTTTGTTGGTTGCTTTTCTTTTTTTTGTTCTGAAGTAGATTGATCTTAACAGGCCAAATGGCTAATATAAATTCTTAAGTTTCACTTACCGACACAAGTTTTGATGCAGCTTATCCTGAAGATCAATAAAACTTTTGTAGTTATCTCTTGTGAATGTTATGTCCCTCAATACAGCACCTACAACGTAAGGCCTTACTTGTGCCGTCTAAAGAAAATTAGAAGTACCCTGTCAAATTTATGTTGTTAGAAAAAAAAAAAGTTCTTTTATTTAACAAAAGAATTTAAATATTATATAAAAATACAATGAATAGTGTCGGGAAAATTTTCACTTTAAAAAAAAAAGAGCTATTTGAATAAAGCAAGGGGAATGAGTTTGAATTTCTATTAGGGCTTGGATTTTTTTTTTGTATAATATATAGACTTTCTTTTATCAACAGTTTGTGATCATTACACCCCTTTTTTTTTTCTTTAATTGAATTTTTTATAATTTCCTAATACTATTCATTGTGTTTTTATATTAGTAATTATACCAAAGATTGTTTAATTTGTTATTTTCATAGATTTGCTAAAGATGGAATACATGTAATTACGAAATTTTCATTAAAAATGTTTACAATTGTTGCCATGGCTCATTATCAAACTTCGTTTTCCACCAAATGTATCAATTGCTTATTGACATGTTATACAAAATGGTTCTTAATTTATTCTTTCGTCAATCAACACAATTAACGTTTAATGGATTAAAACCAGAGTATTGCAAACATATCCAATATTTAACACTGCCTGAAGGAACATGAAAAGTTGAAAAGCTGAGGGAGAGAAAAACAAAGAAAAGACAAAAACATTAGCCATATGTTCTTCCTCCTACAAGTTGTTTTTTGAACCAAAACATTAGCCATATTTTATTTCTCCTACAAGTGGTTGTTTGAACAAAACATTAGCCATATTTTATTTCTCCTACAAGTGGTTGTTTGAACAAAACATTAGCCATATTTTATTTCTCTTACAAGTAGTTGTTTGAACAAAACATTAGCCATATCTTATTTCTCTTACAAGTAGTTGTTTGAACCAAAACATTAGCCATATTTTATTTCTCCTACAAGTGGTTCTTTGAATCAAAACATTAGCCATATTTTATTTCTCCTACAAGTGGTTGTTTGAACCAAAACATTAGCCATATTTTATTTCTCTTACAAGTGGTTGTTTGAACCAAAACATTAGCCATATTTTATTTCTCCTACAAGTGGTTGTTTGAACCAAAACATTAGCCATATTTTATTTCTCCTACAAGTGGTTGTTTGAACAAACCATCGATTACATTTTCTTAGTTTTTCTTATAACTGATTGTTTGACCAATCACATCACTCTTCTACAATGGGTTGCTTGACCAAACCATTAACCCCCTTTCTCTCCTACAATGATTGTATATCCAAAATTTTAACCACTTTTTTTTCTCCAAAATTCTTTTTTTCTTCAAGTTTTCAGATACTCTTTGAGCTGTGACTAAATTTCTTTACAAATTATGCAATCTCTTGCCCAAATACAAGTTTTGTTTTCATACACTGGTGCCAGAAATAACAGTGACGTAGGAAGCTGACTAAAAGTAAGTGGGGAAAGTTTATTTGACGAAGCTTGAAACATGAGAATGTGCAACCATTATGGCCAAAGTCCAAGACTCATCTTAGGGCCTTGGAAGCTCTTGGATTCAGAATTAACTTTTATGCATCCTCCTGCTTTTCCTAAGAGTCATTTTCCTGATTTTGACACATTTTTATTGAGACAGAATGAAAAGTTGGGAGAAGGGCTCCTCCTACACCACTAAATAATGTTGAGAAATATTAGTCATAATATTATAAGGTTAAAGTTGTTGAGAAACCCCATCATTTAGATACAGTGTTGCTTGGCAACATTCTTTTTCTATTTTCTAAAGGTGAGAACAAAACCAGAAAATGTAAAGAACAATGTGCTTCTGATAAATACCACCAGTCTACAATGAAGACGAAAACTAAGAAATCTAATTGGATACTTCGGTATACAGTGGAATCTAAAAACAAGCACAACTTTTTACTTACAGCAGGTTTTACTAAAATTTTCTGCGTGTGTCTCGATGCAGGAGTAACAGCCTTATAATGTGGAATTTTCATCCTGAATAATAAAGAAATTGTATTTTAGATATTTTTATACTACAATATAAGAATTGAAGAGAATACAAAATTGTGAATATTAATCTATGAACTAAGACCCAAATATGTCACATTCTCCAGTGATAATATTTCTTCTAGTAATGCTTTCCAACCATCACTTATTTTGTCAAGAATTTGTCATAAACAACTTTAGAAATCTCACCCAAACTAGGAAGAACATACGGTGCAACTAACGAAATCATTACGAAAAAAACACTGCTAATAATAACAATACCATTATTTACACAAAATATTTCATGGGCATTCCCGATTTGGTGATATTCACAGGATACGCATGACAAGTTACCGGAAACAAACGTATCTACTGTCACCAGTGACCTACCTACTTCCCGGTAACATAGAAAATAATCAAACTACAGAAAAACGAGAGAGAGAATCCTCAATAGCTTGGAGTTGAGTAAATTAATCTACAAGACCTTTTTTTCCATTTTTATTAGTTATATTTTTGTGCGCCAACAATACCAAGGATGTGTAGCACATATACCTGATTTGGTTTTATTGCTCATCAGGATCTCTACCAGCCTACCCTCAAATTGAAGTTCATTTCAGTAGGATTAGAGTATATTAATCTATGAGGTCTTGGGTGTGGTCAAGTACATCAATCAAAGGGTTTGACATCCTGAGTACAAAACTGTAATTATATCTCAAATCGGTCAAGAGATGACAGGGCTATGAGCTAAAAGTTTATACTTCAAAAAAACTTGAGCCATTCTATGAGCCACTATGCTGTAGCTTTGTATTTCAGGAAAATCCATCTGACTGTAAGAGCAGAGCTTCTAATGAAAGGATCCTGCATTGTTTCTTGGGTGAGACATTTCTTCAGACCTGAATGTAAGAGCAGAGCTTCTAATGAAAGGATCCTGCATTGTTTCTTGGGTGAGACATTTCTTCAGACCTGAATGTAAGAGCAGAGCTTCTAATGAAAGGATCCTGCATTGTTTCTTGGGTGAGACATTTCTTCAGACCTGAATAAAGTGTCAGCGAAGAGAACAAAGCATCATTCCACTTAAAAACAATTCAGCTGAAATCCATTAAAAAAATCCACCCTTACAGAATTAAAATAAAATCTCTACCACTTTAAAGTAAAACAAAGCTTAAACATTACAACTACATTTACTTCCTATTCAAGAAGGTCGGCATGCTTTCTATTTTATTATCAAACAAGATTTACTCCCCAAACAAAGGTTCATAACCAGTTGTGCAGATTTCTACATGGTAGAAAAATAGCTGTTACTATTTACTTTCAGGGTAGGTTTATTCTAAACAAATTTGTTTCTTGAATATTAAGAATAAACATATGTAAAGTAGCAGTTTTGATGATTACCAATTAACTTCCACCAGTTGATAAGCACTTTAAGTACTAGCTTAAGACAGCTTGGTGCTCTGGGGTGGAAATTTAAACATTCATGCTTCCACATCATCAAAGTAAATATTGTATTTATTTACCATTTTTTGTTTGTTTGTTTGTTTTGAATTTCGCGCAAAGCTACACGAGGGCTATCTGCGCTAGCTGTCCCTAATTTATCAGTGTAAGACTAGAGGAAAGGCAGCTAGTCATCACCACCCACTGCCAACTCTTGGGCTACTCTTTTACCAACGAATAGTGGGATTGACCGTCACATTATAACACCCCCACGGCTGAAAGGGCAAGCATGTTTGGTGGGATGGGGATGCGAACCCGCAGATTGCGAGTCGAGTGTCCTAACCACATGGCCATGCCGGGCCCACCATTTTTTGTCTAGTTTGTTTTTAAGACATATTGGTATGGATTACTATTTATGTGGTGAGTTGATTGAGAAAGTAGAATTGTTAATGGCGTGATGTTTTTGCCTTTATATTCCATTTTTATTATCGAAGTCGCACAATGTCTTGAATACAGAACACTTCAGAAATGCAATACTTAACTTGAGCTGTTTCAATAATTAACATCAAATTTTCCCTCCCAACAATCCATTTGTTGGAAAATCTAGCTAACATAACAATGCTTTCCTTGAGCTGTTTCAATAATTAACAATCAAATTTTCCCTCCCAACAATCCATTTGTTGGAAAATCTAGCTAAAAGTAACAATGCTTCTACTTGAGCTGTTTCAATAATTAACAATCAAATTTTCCCTCCCAACAATCCATTTGTTGGAAAACTCTAGCCAACATGGCAATGAAATTATTTAAGGAATATTACTATTATATTGCCTTATTATGCCTAATAATTATTTAAAAGAAAAATGCCTCTCCATAATTAGTGAACGTCGTAGTATAATCATACTACTATTGCTCACATTACAATTTATTTTATAGGTAAATTTTGTGAAGTATTTTGCCAATGAAAATTTAAAAGGGGCTCCATTTCCATTATAATCTGTGCCAATAACTGACCGGCAAATATATAATCTACTCACACCTATAATATACATGTATTCTCAACTATCAGACTTCCTTAAACTGGGATCAAAATTAATGGTAGCAAACTAACAGATTGCTTACTAGTGCTGAAGTTTGCTAGTAATATACAGTATAGAGGGCACTAAAACAAATTCCAGAAAGAAGATTCCCAGATTCTTACTACTGAAATCAAAACACGCACGATATCTGTACTTCATTCATTTATATTGCAAGATTTTGGTTACTGTGATTATCTAGACTGTTTCACTTGCCAATGCCACACCCATTTTGTGAATATCTAAGCTGCAAGGCCTGCCCAGGCTAGTTATCAGGGAATGGATAAAATAAGACTGCAATAGCAACTTTAGTGTTTAGTTGCCTAGGTAATTAGCACAGGGAATAATATGGTAGACTCTCACCGTTTTTGTTTTTTTAACCTTGCTCTTAATTTGTCCATGACTGAAATAAATTTTAGGCCATTGGCTTCTAGTGCTATGCCAACTTTCAATATTTAAAACTACAACTTTTAATAATACAATACGTTTTTTCGGTATAGGGTGGCCATCAGCAGTGTGGCACTGTAGACTTTGTCGATCCAGCTGCTTATGGCCTAGATACAGAAATCTCCACCAAAACAGAATGTGTTTAACTTTTGTGAAATAGTTAAAAACAGTTTTACACGTCATGAAAACGAGTTTTGATATTAAAAAATATTTCAAAATAAAAAATTAATACACAAGATTTATATATATATGTTTATTAACATTTAATATGTGACATGATTAATTATGAAATTATTAATTATAATTATAATCAATATTAGAGAAGAAGAAAGTCATTCCTAGTGGCACAAAAATAACAAGCAACCAAGTGCTAAAGTAATCGAAAGCTAAAGTCAAGACCTGTTAAATGTATCTTTTAATTATTTTATTCCAATTACAAATACTAATAGAATTAGAAATAAAAGGAATCCATTCACATTTTTCTATTTCAGGTATCCCTCAAATTGGTGACTTATTTACATACTTTTTATTACCAGTGGGGTCCAAATATTGCACCTTACTGAATATCTGTTACGTTTTTGTCTGTTACAGCACCCATACGGGACCCTAGCAGTAATTAAAGGAATTAATTGCAAAACTGAATGATTGATTTGTTTACATTTCTTTTGTGAGACTCATATGTAATTAGGGACATCGTAACCAACAAAGTCATGCATCCTCAAGTAACCGAGTTTATAAACAGTTTACATAAGAATGTATTTAACAAACTGGATCCAATCAGTGATTCGTAATACCAAACTGCTGTCGAATACATCCAGAAAAATAAAATATTTCAGACACTATTGACTCTCTCACATATTTTATTTGATACTCACTTGCCCTGAAAAATCAGAAGAGCCCTTGCCAGTCCCTCCAAACATAGGAGATCATACCTAGTGAAAACAATAAAGTTAACAGATTATGTTCACAAAACGCACCCATGTTCCTCTAAACAGTATTAGAGGAGTGAGATGAATACATTTCCTACAGAAACATGATCATTTTATTCAGAAAACTCATGCATGACTTCATTATTGTTTGGGGCTTTCTCCGAAACTTTTGTTCTCCGTGATTTTTTTTGAGTGATCTGTAATTTTTGTTCACTTAAAAAATAAAAATTAAAAACAATATGATGCCAATTACATATAGGATTTTTAAAGGAAAAACTGTTCTCAACCACAACATACCCTTTTTTTAAATTCACAATATTTTTTTAAATATTTAGCTAGAGTTTTTGAATCAAGCCTCCAATTTTTTCACCTTTTCTAAGTGATTGTGAATCTTACATATTCACTAATTTATATATTTTCAAGAGAATAAAACTGTTAATAATGTATGTTTGTTTGTTTTTGAATTTTGCGCAAAGCTAC